GGCGTGCCCGGGGGCGCCGCGGGCAGCGTTCGTCGGCCGGTCGCGTCCCGGTGCCCGCCGGCTGGGCAGGAGGTCGGCTTTCCAGGGAGCCCTTTCGCCGGGGCTTAGAACTTTTCCTCTCGAGAGTCGTGCGGCTGAGCGCTTCTGTGGGTGCTGAAATGACTTTATAATAGTCTCCTTGTACCCCGCCCGCTAAAATGGACTCAGCGGCACGTTAAAGGTCGCGGGGACAATTTATGAAGTGGTTCGGTAGGCACTGTCACAGTCAGCCCCGGACAGAGGCCATCTCTCCTCTCCTTACTGACCCAAGCCAAAAGCAGATCCGGCATGAAAAGAAGCAGCTCGAAACGCTGAAGTTTTAAGAGCGTGCAGCTGAATCGGAGATGAAAAAACTTGGAGGCAAATGCTGCCAGCACTTGTGAAATGAGAAATGGAGGGAGCTCCTGGGTGAATTAAGAAAATAACATGCTAGGCTTATAACAGTTGAACTGAGGGAAGCTTTTAGAGGGAAACAGGGTAATGCAGTTCTCTAAAGTTCTCTTAAAGTGGTAAAGTTTCATACTGGCAAGTACTGCTCTGTGCATAGTATTTTTTTTTCTCTGCTTGGAAAGAAAAAGTAGTAGAGGTTACAAGTGGGTAAGCTTTACGCAGGGAAAAATGGTTCGGTTGGATTATATTCAGGAGTCAGTGTGAGTGTGCTTTTGATATGCCTGTGATGCTCCTGATGCAGATAATGCTTATAAATAAATTATTTTGGAATATTTCTGTCCAGGACTGATGTAAGATATTGGGAACAGCAGCCTTTGTGGAAAAAAAATGTCCTACTGTACCAAAGAGAGAGCTTGTTCAGGTATGTCTATTACGGATTTACCATCTGCTTCAGGAGCCTTGTAGAGATAATATAGTTGTTTCTGAGGAGGGTATTCTTGATCTGATTAACTTCTGCACTGGTGGTGCTTCTGTAACTGTCTGACCTACTCAGCCTTAGTTGGAAAACTTGGCTTTCTTTGGCAAAGCTTATGTTGTGAGCACTGAAAGAAGGTATCTAATGGTCTTAGCAAAAGAAAAATAATGGTGTGAAAGCAGGGATGTTTTTATTTCTAGCATCATGATGCAGGTTCAGTGATCTTGGAAGTTTGACACCCATATGTTTTGGAGATCAGTGAATATTCTAGGAGGATGTAAATCTGAGAAATAATGAGAGTCCTGACAGGGGCTGTCAATGCCCACCTATGACAGCACATGCAAATGTGTTTTTATTTTGCAAGGTTAAAAGTACTTTAACATGATCAAGAGAGAAAAGAAAAAGGGTAATGTTCAATACATTAAAGTCAGTTTTGTAGTTGTTTGTATTGACTTTTTTTTCCCCTCTTGCTCCCATTTGAGGCTGTTTTGCAATGATTGCAGGGAGCTAATCCAGGTGTGTTGGTTGGGGAGGGAGGTGGGTGTCTCCTTTTCTTCTAGTGGTAAATCTTTAACTGTGTGTGCAGCCTGTAGGAGGGCTCGGTTGGGAGGGCTGTGCCAGTTGCAGACAGTAGAATTGGCACATAACCGCTCTGATTTCCCCCACAATCTTCAAGTTTTAGTGGGTTGGTGCAGGTTGATGGAGAGAAATGTATCAGTTACAGACATGTGGAACTGGTACAAAAGGAGGGGAGCTTTGACGATTGCTTTTCAGCAGGATTTGAGATGTGAATGAGCTTGTTCCAACTATAAAACATGTGAAAAGACCGTTGGGAGACTGCAGTGTGTGGAGTGGCACGCCATTTTTTTAATGCTTAAATACTAAGATCAAGTTTTTTCCCAGCGTAATTAAGAGGGTGAGAAATGTGCAAGGAAGATGAGAAGCAAAACAAAAACATAAACAATTTCTTCTGATGATGTTTTCTTGACCTGCATAAGGAAGGTTGATTGTAGAAACTTGGCAATTTTATAGTTAAGCTACAATGCCCTTGTAAAAGTTTCCTGCAGAACAGTTGTATGTGTTATTGCTTGTTGGGTTACCTTTTTGGGTGTGAATTTTTACACTTCCATCCTCTTTGTTAGAGCTGTGTGTGAAAAATGATAGTTTAGCAATCTTCCATTGTGAGCTGGGAAACTGCCCTAGTGAGGATTTGACTTTTTGTCTCCGTCATCTTTGGGAACATTCCTCGATGGACTTTTCTCCCCTAATCCTGTTATTTCTTCAACATGTGTAGCTCCATCTCACTTTATTGTGTTTGCTACAGCTTAGGACTATGGCTCCGTGGCTGACTTGCCAATGGCATGTGATCCTTGTATTCCCAGACTTGGGAAATCGCTTAATTAATCACTTGATGATCTAACAGCATAGTTAAAAGAACAGGGCACTAAGCTTAAAGTCAGTTCTTTGTTCTGTCACACAGATTTACTGTGTGACATTGGAAGGAGATAACTTGGTGTTGGGCTTTTTTTCCTGCTGTAGTATGTGATTACGATATTTTGAGAAGCAGTTAGAGGCCTACAGCTGTAGGGGAATGTAGAAATGCTAGTGCTTTTTTATTATTATTAAATAAAGCTTTGATAATGTCACCTGACTATTTTTGAGTTGTGCCATTACTTCTCTGCTTCATCGTGAAAAGCACCAAGTGCTGAATAACAATCTGAAACTTCGTTGGAAAAAAAACCCCAACCAACCAAAAAAGCCCCAAAACCATAACTACCCCCAACACCTCAAAAACAAAGGAAAAAAAAAAAACCCAAACAAAAAAACCAAACCCAAAACCAGACCAGCCAGCACAGGATGCATATTTGACATCTGCACTGAGAAAGTTGCGGGTTTTTTTAAGGAGAAAACCAAAATGTTAGAGCCGTTTCCAACATCTAATTTTATGATAGTATGTGTATTATTTTATCTTGTGTTGTTTTGGCATTGGATAGCTTGTACTTACAAGTCAATTGCTGGGAGGGACAAGGAAGGACACTATCGCACCATCTCTTAATTAGAGTGAAGCTAAATATGATTACTTTTCTTGAACCTAGTAAGAAATACAGACCTCTCTTCCATGTTGAACATAGATCTGTGTATCAGTTAGCTTTGTTAGATAAAATAGACTGATCCTTTGCATTGCTCCTTTCTAAATAAGCATTGCATGGTTTTAAATTCTTTAAAAAAACAAACAAACAAGTTGCATACAGTTATCTCAAAATATGTAAAGCCCTTAACAGGAAGAAAGGGCTGTTTGTTTTTTTTGTGGAACTTCTGTTTTTCTTTTCTTGTTTTTGCGGGATTTCAAATTATGTAAGAATTTAAAAAAAAAAAAAAAGGCAAGGAAGGGAATCTATTTGGAGTTGTAGTTGAAATCTGCACCAGCTTTCCGAGAGGTTGATGTAGACAGTGAATTCTGGAATTACGGAGGAATGTGTTTGACACAACAAGGGGGAAAGGCATTTCCATAATTCCTGAGGCTTTTCATGAGAAGACAGAAAGGAAAGGAAAATGCTGATGAATGATATTTACATTGCTCCTTTAGTATTCCTGGCCTAGTTTGTAGTGGAGCCTTCATTTTTGCCAGGGAGAAATCTGAGGTATCTGTGTACAAAAACAGTCAGTTCTCGTACTCCCCTGCGTTTCCCGTGAGTTGGATCACCTCTGCTCCGCAAGGCCGTGGTCTGTGATGATGGAGGAGAAATCTTAGCTATTTTTCCTAAAGGCTTTGCTTCCTTTCAAACTCCTTTCTCCTTCTAGAAAATTTGCTACTAATATAACAAGTAATTCTGTGGCACCTTCTACTTAAGTGTGTCTAATAAATTTAGTTCATTGGCACCCTGGTATAATAAAGAGTTGTTAGTAACAGCCATCTGTAAAATGGAGATAAGGCCTCCAAATTTACTTGACAGAACTTAAATAGGGTAGGGAGATCTGTATTGTGATTTACCGCCTATGCTTCCAGCCCTTGCATTGCCCTTCTCTTCTATATGTGCTTACTCACATGTAAAACCTGCGTGCAGCTAATCAGACACTTGAAATTCTACTTTGGGTTTCATAAATGTGTGATTTTTAGAAAATTTGATTGAGGAAACTGGTAACTCCCTGGAGGGCAGATTGCTGTCTAGTTGTGTGAATGGGAGTAATGAACGTCGGGCGCTAACTAAAGCATGAAATGTGTGGTATAAAGTAGTGAAGCTTTCTATTTCAGTTGTTCTCTGGATAAGTGTCTCAACTCCTTTCAGTCCAAAGGCTACCCAACTTGTTACAAAAAAAAAAAGAGTATTATGCAGTGTTTTCGTAGTTTTTTTTCCTTTACAACCAAACAAAAATTAGGCTATGCTTTGAACGCTTCTTTAAACTTTTATTTCTTGTCATCTTGTTGTCTGCTTGTTTGCGTATGTATGCATATATGTATTCTTTTTAACTTTTATATCAAATCGTTTTCAGTTATACCAGACCACTTCCTGGTATCTTATTGACAACAGATTGACAAACTCTGCTGTAGCAAAAGGCTAGCTTGCACAAAAACCCTGATTTTATTTTGTCTGCTTCCCTGTGCTACAGGGGACCATTCCATACCTCATTTCTGTATTCACTTACTGCTCTATGTATATACACTTTGCTAGATGATGATCTGCTGAAACCAAAGGGAATGTTTTCAAAATTAGCTGTTCTCGAGCAGAGAGTGCGTGATGGGAAGCGTTAAGTGTTTTGTTACAATGCATGTAAATCCTTTTACTGGTTGAACACAGGAGCTCATACCAATGAGTTTCCACTATTATCCACCATTCCTGGCCAGGGCTCCTGAGGCTGTTCCTGAATTGACTCTTTAGTAAGTAGAATGAAAAATGGGCTGCAGAATAGCTTCAGTATATATTGCTCTGTAGGCTTAGTGTTAATGCCGCGATAAGTGTTTTCTAAAACAGGTTAACAGCTGTTCAAAGTCATCTTATTGTGTTCTCAGACCAGTGTTTGAGGGTGTAAATTCACCCTGAGTAGCTGTCTTGTTGATATGAAACACGCTGAAATTATTAATTAAACAGTAATTATTCAAACTTGTTTATATGGTTGTCTGATTTGTATGATTTCACACATTTAGACAAGGCTGAGATCTAAAGAAGCTACAGAATATTTCAGGAAGAGCCAAGTGTGTGAACTGCTGATAAAAAGAAGGTATTTCCTGTAGGTGAATTTTAGAAAGCAAATTTAGAGAATAACTTGATGAAAATTGACAAAGTATTACAAATGAAAGGAGCAACGTGGCTGAATTGTCAAAGGAACGCTGAGTCTCGTCTAGATCTGTCTATGGGGCTTCACCCTGTAGTTGTCTTACGGGGTAATGTGGGTTCAGACCACTGGAATAAATCTGAGAGTCCTCAACATCAGTTTGGCTAATAGTGCTGCAGGTTCCAGGACTTACAGATGAAATACTGAAGGATTCACAGTTCATCTTGTAAATCTTTTCTCCTGATGCCTACCTTTTGCCACTGGGAGTTTCAGTAGCTTACCAGACTGAGTAGCTGTAGCCCCAGTAGCTTACCAGTAGCTGAGCCCCAGTTTAGGGAACAATTTGTGCCATGAAAGTCCTGCTTTGTTGGTTGGCCAGCAGGAAGATGGAAAGCAGGGAGAGTGATTCAGTAGGCAGGAGGGGTGTTGTATTAGTACAGATTGGCACTGCTCTCGGGGAAATAGGTGGGTTGCATTTTGGCTAGCCCCTCTTTTGGAGGCTAGCTTGCTGTGACTGCCTTGGTAACGTGAGCCAGTGGTTTGGCAACACAGAGGACTGTGGAATTCTGTGTAGTGTGTGCATTGGAGGAGTAACAAAATCTACTGTGTCATGTTGCATTTCACTGATTAGTCTTGAGCAATTAAAAGCAAGAATTACAAGGGTGTGCACCCAGAGAACCGCTGCTCTGAAGAGCGAGGCTGTCTTGTGCTTTCCATAGTTCTTTTTGTGTGTATTTTTGACATTTACTCTTGATAGTGTGGTTTATTATACCTTGCTGCCCCATGAAAGGTCAGGTGGGCAAGGATTTTTCTACACTAGAAAATCTTTTGCCTTGCTATCTGTATTCTGAATTTTCTTTCCTCCTTTTCTTCTCAGTTCAGCATCTATCTGAAAAGTGGATATACAGATATGTTATCACTTTATCCAGCAGTATCCCAGGTCAACATTGAATTAGCTTGCATTATCTCACCACAAATTTCTGGCCGGTAACAGGAACTTTTTAGAAGCTACTACGTAGGTGGGGTTAGTAGGTGATACATTAGTCTATTAAAGCAGAGGTGTCAAGACTTGCTTCTCTGAGTCACATTAGCAGGAATCTGAAGCCTGATGAGACATGTGGGATAAGGTAATTTGTCCTGGATTTGGTTTGGTTTCCTTAAGCCATTTTATGGAACAAAGAACGATGTGTCTATTCTGAAGCTGTATATCTGAGGAATCGGAGATTACCTGTTTTCCCCATTTATCAGGGCCTAGAGCACATGAAGGAAGAGGTGGGAAATCCTTATCAGGAGGAGGTCAGGGCTTTCAAGTTAAGGATATGAGTTCTTATCTTCTCTGAGTTAATTTCTGACACAGTTGTCAACTTTTTGAACAATGTATCACAGCTTAAAGAAATGGTTCTTGCTTCTATGGTGTTACTGTCTTTTTTGTGTTCTCAAAATTTTAGGTAAGTTTAAGAGGGGGTCTAACTTCTGCACAATGGCAATGATTAATACTGCCTAGCCTTTCTGGGTAACTTTTCATCAGTGGATTGACTTGCTTTGTAAAAGAGCTTGCTTGCAGTATCCCTCTTAAACAGACATATACAGAGAGGAAGCAACCCATCTGTTCCAGACTGGAGAACAGAACTCAGATATGGGCTGAATAGATTCCAGGGTCATATCCACATTTTTCACCCTGTTTCTTATGTGTGAAATGTGTAGAAAAAAAGGATTGCTTTGAAAAACAACGTAAGCTTAGTTTACAGTTGCATAATATCTGTAGCTATGAAGTCAAGTTGAGATAATGGGTTGCAGTCAGTCATTCGATAAGAAGGCACTCTGAATCATCATCTTTGCCCCTCCTTTGATGTAGTTTGTCCTCCAGGGCCATGTTCCTAAGAGCCATCTTTTTTCACTTTTGCATCTGGCTGAGAATCAATTAGAATCTCTCTGTCCAAAACTGTCCAGCTCTGGTTGAATTCACTGTAAAAATATGTTTGGGTTTTTTAGCTGCAAGCAGTGGAATAGGTATATTTGAAAGATTTTGCCAGAGCTTGCTGTGATTGAGGAATTGCTGGGTTGGCCCTTATTAGGAACCTTTTTCCTCTGCTCTTGAACTTAAGAATATTGACATAGTAAATTACTGTAATTCATGCCCACTCTAGCATACTGTCATAGAGTTTAATGAAATTATGTCAAATGAAGTATCTCCTTCCTTTGTAATGACATGTAAAATTTAATGCAGGGCAGTAAAATAACACATTTGCTTTCCTTCCATGAGTTGTTCTAGGCAGGATCCAAAGTGCTGAGCAAGGGTTTTGTTCATTTTGGCAGACCCTGCTGCGGTGGGAGCTGGACAGACAGGAAATGCAGGCCTCTCAGCTGATTCACAGAACAAATTTGGCCTGTGATTCTTCTTTTGCTTAGTAGAGATGTCTTTCTGACTCTGTATAATTGGTGGTGCTCCTGGGTGTTGTGAAGAGGGAGGTACCAACGTCTTGAACGTGTGCGAAGTAGTATAGCCTCCTGGGGGAGGGGCTTGACTGTTGCTCTGGTTGTGTTGCACCACTGTGGGAGCACTGAGCATGGGAACAGGGTATTTTAAGGCTACTTCTTTCACTTTATCTTATCAGGTCTACTGGACTGTTTTTCCCTTTTTGTCTTTTAGATTTGGCAAAGCCTCCGGTAAATGAACCGAGGGAACCGGAACAGTTTCTAATGCAGGCGCCCCAGGGAAATCCGCTGCTGCTTTCCCACACCCTACAAGAGCTATTGAGCAAGGATAGTGTGCAGGTGGAGCTTATACCTGAGAAGAAGGGCCTTTTTCTGAAACATGTGGAATATGAGGTTTCCAGCAAGGTAATGTGAACAAGCATTGGTCTTAGTGAGAATGTATCTTCTTAAGAATGTCTGTGCAGTTGCTGTTGGCAAAGTCTTGTCTAATTTGATAGATGTGTTGGGTCATGCTGGTTGTGAGTAGGCCAGTTGAATGGGCTTACTTTAAATGCAGTAGCACTATGCCTTCTTGACCTGGGCTTCTGCAGCATGGAGCATCTTCTAACTGAGGTCTGATGGATGGTCTGCTAGTTTACTCACTTGAAACCTGAGCTCTGTACAAAAGCAGATGTGTAACATTGAAAACTGAATGTTTGCATAACGGATTGGTGTAGGCGACTGGATATTTCAAACTATTCCAAGCTAGGGAAGAAATTGTATTGGCAGTGCTAAACTGAAATCCTTTGTAAACAGAAAAGATACCGCAAATCCTTCTGCAGAGTCTAGGCCGTTGCCAGTTTACTTGCCCCAATCCTGATCTGTAGGTTCCTCTCTTGGTGTAAGAGAAGATTGAAGATGATGTATCTTTTTCTATTTATAGAGTGGCCAGTGAAATAGCTCTCCAGTAGCTTCTGTGTGTTTTTTCAAGAAGGAAATCTGTCCTCTTCAAAGTGGACCATAAGAAATTTACATCTCGCAGGCCACCAAAACATCAGTTACTGAGTAGCGCTCAAACTGTTGTAGTCACTGTTGTACTTATTCAGAGACATATTTGGGTCACTTGTCTGTAGCGATGTTTGGAGCTTTAGGTGTTTTAGATTGACATCTGTAAGTTTGTCAGAGTGTTGTGAGGGGGAAAGGGCAGACACAGTGAATGCTTCTGTGGGCTTTCTAGCACTCGGTGTTTATTTTTGCCTGTGATTTCAGGGCACAGGACTTGGTGACCCTGGTGGTCTCTCTAGGTTTTGAATTTAGGAACCCATTGCCAGCTCCTTTCAGTTGCTGTCATCTCTCCTATGGTTGTAGCTGTAGAATGATACTTCCTCAAAAAGAAACATAGCTTGGCCTTGAGCTTCATCTAAGATCTGCAACACAAATTGACATCAGATTTCAAAGCAGACAGAGGGAGGCCCTAGGGGCTGTGTCTGTTGTGCTCCAGTTATATGCCTCATTGCTTTATTTTTGAAAATGGATAGTGCCACAATAAGTGGTGGATGATGTGCAATGCAAATGTAGTGAGAATGGGTATAGTGTTGTGTAGTCTTTCTTATTAACTGCTCCAATAGTTGAATCTGTAGTAATAGTGTGGGGTGTGTGTGGGGGGGTTTGTTTATTATTTTTTTTAAAGGATTTCTGCCTCTTAAGTGTCTTGTTCTAGCTGCTATCTGACTCCTTTTGGAATGAAAAAACAGTTTCTTTGGTCCCTTCTACATATTGATCTAAGAACTGCAGAGGGAAGGACTAAGATTTTAAAGGAACTTTCAATCTTTATTTATAGATCTAACATCAGTGAGAGGTCTCTCTTTCTCCTGTGAGGTTCACTTAAAACATCAGTCATTTGGGCTAATACTTAACATGATCTGAGACTGTTTTGCCACCTCTGGATTTGAAACTGATTTAGAGAAAGTTCCTAGGAGCTAGAGGTCAGGTACTGGCAGTACTTCAGGAAAAGAGCTCTCTAGAGCACTTCAAGAGTGTTGACACTATTTCTCAATGTTCTGTCTAATTTGGAAGACCAGAGAGTTCGAGGGAGTAATGATATGGAATCACGGCAGATTTAGGGATATTTGTAATTTCTTGGGAAACCTCTTCCTCTCCATTTCGTAGTCTCTTTCATCTTGTGTGTAAATGAAATCCGTTTTTAACTGAAAATCTTATTCTCAAAAGGACTGTAGTTAGAAGAATGCTATCTCTATTCATAATCGAAAGGTGGCTACTTTTGGAGTCTTTTCTCCCTCCTTCCCAGCACAAGGCCTCTAAAGATAAGAAATAAGTAGTTTCTGCAGTCTCTGAGTGTGATTTCTTTCTTTTCTTCCTGTTGTTTTTAGTGCAGCCGATAGCAAAAGAAATTACAGAAATGCTGCTGATTGTCCAGCTTGTATATTGATTTGTGTGCCCCCCCCTCCTCTATTGCAGAGATTCAAATGCTCAGTCTATAGGCGATACAATGATTTTGTGGTGTTCCATGAGATGCTGCTTCAGAAGTTCCCATATCGTATGGTGCCAGCACTTCCACCAAAGAGGATGCTGGGAGGTAAACCTGGGTCTTTCTTTTGACTGGAGGGGTCGTGGTGCAAGCGGGATCAAGGTGATAATGTTGAAAATAAGTCTTTCCTTCTGCTTGGCTCAGAAAACAACTTTGAGGTTATAATACACAATTTGGAGATTTGAATTGTTGCCATCCTAGAAATTCCCTATAGGTAAGATATTAATGTGAAATTTCAGTGGGATTTCTTTCCGTGGAAGTTCAGTATCTAAGGACTTTTCTGGTAAGATTTAAGGCTTAATTCTACACAAGAGCATGGCAGAGATGCAGGTATTGGGTTTTTTTTTTGGAAAATAGGTTATGATGATCGGTGCTGTGAGTGTAAAATCGCTACCATACTGTTGAACAGCTCTGGTGTGTATTGTGGTGAGTTATTTTGTGAAGTGTTAAGAATAGAAAAGATTTGTGAGAATCCCATTGTTTTTCTACAGCAAGAGAAGAGTAAAGATTAACAAAAGAAAATAAAATCTATATTAGAATCATAGACTAGTTTGGGTTGGAAGGGACCTCTAAAGGTCACCTAGTCCAACCCCCCTGCCGTGGGCAGGGACAGCTTCAACT